GAAGTGTTAATAAAAGGCATAGCTTTGAGTTCGCAGGATTTGTTATTCCTAACCTACAAATCTCGTTACGTTCACAATAGTGTCGGATATTTGTCTTTGTGTTGATTTTCATATTTATGATATATTGCGACTTGTTATGCGTCTAATTTATAGTTGCAGCAGCTTAATGTCCTAAAATATATCTTAAGTCTCCTAATACTCATCTGAAATAATTAGTCATTTTTCTTGTTACAATCAGTTTATTCCAAAATTCGATTTAAATAATACTTTTAAAATAATAGATTTTTAAATTATTAATTTTTAATCGCTCAATTTTGATGATAAGTATATAAACTCTTGATGTTGTATAAAATTACAGTATTCTTCTCCACGTCTGTGATATTGAAAATTGTTAAATTGTTAATATAAAAGATTTTAGTAGTGAAGCATTTTTTTATACATAAATATGTTCTATTAATTAATGTTTCACAATACTTGTTGACATAATGGTATTTAGAATATTTAGTTCATTCTTAGTATTTCTAATAAACTTGATAATATACTTATTAATGATTTGCGGATGATGACTTTCTTAACTTACTTGAATATTTGTGGAGGGAAAATCTGATTTAATGAGTCTGACGGAATCATTTTAAGAATTAACCTTAATGAATGATGACATATGAATTATCCTGACAAATTTATGGAGGGAAATACTGATTTAATGAGTCTGACATGAATTTAATGTAACTTTTGTTTTTTTTATTGATTGGAATTTCTAAATTTACTTGCTACCTATTTTCTTTCATACTTAATGGTTTTATTTTTTAATGCTTAAGGTGAACTTCACGGTAGATGAGATCCGTAAGATGATGGACAAGAAGAAGAATATTCGTAATATGTCCGTCATCGCTCATGTAGATCATGGAAAATCAACCTTAACTGACTCTTTGGTATCTAAAGCTGGTATTATAGCTAATGCTAAAGCTGGAGATATGCGTTTTACTGATACTCGTAAAGATGAGCAAGATCGTTGTATTACCATCAAGTCAACTGCCATTTCCATGTACTTTGAATTGGGAGAAAAGGATTTAGTTTTCATCAAGAACCCAGATCAACGTGATCCTGAAGAAAAAGGATTCTTGATCAATTTAATTGATTCTCCTGGTCACGTTGATTTCTCTAGTGAAGTTACTGCTGCTCTGCGTGTTACTGATGGAGCTTTGGTTGTTGTTGACTGTGTTTCTGGTATATATAAAAATAATTATACGTTTATGTAAAATGTACTCAATTTTTTTTTTCCAAAGGTGTGTGTGTACAAACTGAAACTGTATTGCGTCAAGCTATTGCCGAAAGAATTAAGCCAATTTTATTCATGAACAAAATGGACCGTGCTCTATTGGAATTGCAATTGGAATCCGAAGATTTGTATCAAACTTTCCAACGTATTGTTGAAAATGTTAATATCATTATTGCTACTTATTCAGATGACAGCGGTCCTATGGGTGAAGTCCAGGTATATTAAAATATATAATGTATTTAATTATTCAATCTTTATGATGACAACTATTTAACCTATTGATGTTCTATGAAATTTCATTACCCTTCTCCACGTCTGAAAGATTGAAAAATATCTGAAATTGCTGTACTTGGCATTTTTCAATATTAATTATGGATGTCTTTTAGGTTGATCCTAGCAAGGGAAGTGTTGGTTTTGGATCTGGTTTGCACGGTTGGGCTTTTACCCTAAAACAGTTTGCTGAAATGTATGCTGAGAAATTCAAGATCGATGTTGTCAAGCTTATGAACAGGTGATCATTCTTTATTTTCTTATTTGTTAAATTGCTCTTAACTTTCAAATTTTACTATTTAGATTGTGGGGAGAAAATTTCTTCAACGCCAAAACGAAGAAATGGGCTAAACAAAAGGATGATACTAACCAACGGTCATTCTGCATGTACATTTTGGACCCTATCTACAAAGTAAGCAAAATATAGAACTAACTGTTCAAATGAGACAATATATTTTATAGTGTAAAAATTATTTAACTTATGATGATGTTCTATGCACACCAATGCTCCTGATATTGTTGTGATGATATTTTAAGAACGGCCGACTGAAGTTATATTTATCTCTTTATTTAAAATGAATTGTTTTTTTTGTGATGATGTTCTATGCACACCAATGCTCCTGATATTGTTGTGAAGATATTTTAAGAACGGCCGACTGAAAATATTTACAATTCATATTTCCTTATTAGTTAAAGTAGTTTTCTTCGATTTCAGAATTTATTACTCATGACTAGGGCAGAAGTTAAATTAGGACTTGAAGCATTTGCATATTAGTTTTGCACAGTCACAAAAATAGCAGAGTATGAAAGAAATATGTAGCACATTTTTTTCTACAAGTGCTTGCGGATCGCCAATAAGACTATTAATTTGCTGTAATTTTATTAATTTTATTAGTAGATAGATATTCGTTTATGATAGCTCATCATCGCCCCAGTAAGCTAAATGCATTTAATGAAGAAAAATTTAATTTATTTTGCATTGGCGATGGCATAAAATATTTTGATATTGGGTAATTGCTTTACTTATTAAAATGCTATTCATTTTATTAAGACTTTGAAATGAAAGTGCTGAAATAAATTTTTAAGTGCATATTTTAGGGTTTTTAAATGCATAAGTGCTTGCATATTTTTTTGATTTTTTTAGAGCTACAAGTCCTCTGCCCTACTTGACTGTTCTATGGATACCATTATCCTTAATATTTCTGTAAGACTATATTTTATGAATGGTTGACTGATGTTATTGTTTGTCTTATGGATTAGATTGAGTTTTTTTTTTTTTTATGATGATGTTCTATGCACACCAATGCTGATATTGTTGTGAAGATATTTTAAGAACGGCCGACTGAAAAACATTAATAATTCATATTTTCTTTATACATTAAGTTGCTTCAGTTTTAGAATGTATTACTTATGACTATATTCTATGCAAATCAATATTCTTGTCATGACAATATCTTATAAATGTTGTAAGTGTGTTTTTCTTTGAAAAATGGTTGACAGTGATATTTTCTCTTATACTTTATGTAAGAATAGCTATTTAATTTTGAGTATTATATATTAATGCTGTAATTATATACCTATGATGTTTATCACAGACCTGTTCTTAATAATCTTTGAAGACATTTTTTTTATCTATCTGATGGTTTGTGAATAGTATATATATATATATATCAGTTAAATACTTCATATGTTATAAAATTTGAATAAATTGCACAATTTTTTTCTAACTTTTTTGGTTGTCCTTTAAAATCGCTTACTTATGTATATTTTTAATATATTTATTTCAACTGTCATTAGGAACCAATGATGATTTATTATCACAGACCTGTTCTGACATCTGTTGATGAAATCTATTTTTAAACTATCTGATGGTTTGGTAGTATTATGTTCTATATATTCAATATTTGTTGGTTTTCTTAATATTTATTAAATTTATATTTTCAGGTTTTCAATTGCATCATGAACTACAAGAAAGATGAAGCTACCGAACTTTTGTCAAAGCTTGGAATTGTATTAAAACATGAAGATCAAGATAAAGATGGAAAAGCTTTGTTGAAGGTATAAATCATTTTATTATGTGTATGTATATATCTATGGTGATATTTTTATTAACTTATTTCCATTGAATCTATGATATATTATTTATAAATTACATATTGTTCTTTTAGAAATTTAGTTGAACAATTTTTTTTTTTTTAACAAGTAATCATTTTAATTAACAATGATGATAAAAATTTATTCTGAAACAAATATATTTGTTGATACACTTATAAACCCTTCTCCATCTGAGTATTAAAATGAATTAATTTTTTCATACTTGTTTAAAATAATAACTTAAATATTTTATTTACTATGATGATAAAAATGTATTCTAATAAAATATGTTGCTATTAATTTTTGTCCATCTGAATCGAAATGAAATATAATGCTATTATATATTATACATATTGTTTTTAATGCCATTTAACTGATATAGGTTGTTATGCGCACCTGGTTGCCTGCTGGAGAAGCTTTACTTCAAATGATAGCCATTCATTTGCCATCACCTGTTGTTGCTCAAAAGTACCGTATGGAGATGTTGTATGAAGGACCTCATGATGATGAGGCTGCTCTTGGTGTGAAGGTATTATTTTGTTTTCTACTTACTGTTTTTTATTTTTAATATTTTATTATAAATATAGAACTGCGATCCTGATGCACCTCTGATGATGTACATCTCCAAAATGGTACCAACATCTGACAAAGGACGTTTTTACGCTTTTGGACGTGTATTCTCTGGAAGGGTAGGTTGAGAATTCACATTGCAATTTAAAATATGTATATAAGTTTTGGTCAAATTTAGGTTGCCACTGGTATGAAAGCTCGTATTATGGGACCTAATTATACACCAGGAAAGAAAGAAGATTTGTATGAAAAAGCTATCCAAAGGACTATATTGATGATGGGACGTTATACAGAGGCCATTGAAGATGTTCCCAGTGGTATATTTTTATTTCATAAATTATTTATTAACATTGTTGTCTTATATTGTTTGCATTTTATTTGTAGGTAACATTTGTGGATTGGTTGGTGTTGATCAATTTTTGGTAAAGACTGGTACCATCACAACATTCAAGGATGCCCACAACATGAAAGTTATGAAGTTCAGTGTATCTCCTGTTGTACGTGTTGCAGTAGAACCCAAAAACCCTGCTGATTTACCCAAATTAGTAGAAGGTCTTAAACGTTTGGCCAAATCTGACCCTATGGTGCAATGTATCATAGAAGAATCTGGTGAACATATTGTTGCTGGTGCTGGTGAATTGCATTTGGAAATTTGTCTGAAAGATTTGGAAGAAGACCATGCTTGTATTCCAATTAAGAAATCCGATCCAGTTGTTTCCTACAGAGAAACTGTTAATGAAGAATCCGAAATCATGTGCTTATCAAAATCTCCTAACAAGCATAACAGATTATTCATGAAGTGTCAACCATTCCCAGATGGTCTGGCTGAAGACATTGAAAAAGTAATATTTTAATCAATCTAATTTCCTGTACTGAAATAATATATTACATTCTTTTATTTAGGGCCAAGTCAACCCAAGAGATGAATTCAAAGCTCGTGCCCGTTACTTGGGTGAAAAGTATGAATATGATGTTACTGAGGCTCGTAAGATCTGGGCTTTTGGTCCTGATGGAACTGGTCCTAACTTATTGATTGATTGCACCAAAGGAGTACAGTATCTTAATGAAATTAAGGACTCTGTTGTTGCTGGTTTTCAATGGGCTACCAAAGAGGTAACAAATAATGTTTTTATATGATTGCAATGATGATACAAGTATTATTCTTTCGCGGTTTCCACCAGAGGACTTATTTCTTATGACGGTTGAAAGTGTCTGAGCTTTGTTCTTATAATATTTAATGTAAAATTTTTCTATATTAATTACCATTAATGAAACTGGTACTAAGTTAATAATTCCTACTAAATTGATGAAAAAAATTTAATTTTTCTAAATTATATGCAATGATGATACAAGTATTATTCTTTCGCGGTTTCCACCAGAATATTTTCTTATGATGGTTGAAAGTGTCTGAGCTTACAATTTTAATTATATTTATAGTTTCCATATAGTATATACATTTCGCGACATCTCTAACTTAATACCAGTGATTTCAAATGTATTAAAATAATTCTTTACAACTACCCTACCATAGTATTTATTCAATATTTCTATTAATATTTATTTATTTTTAAGAAAAAAAATTTCTTAATCATATGCTATGATGATACAAATATTATTCTTTCGCGGTTTCCACCAGAGGATTTTGTTTCCTGTGATGGTTGAAAGTGTCTGAGCTTGTTTATAGATAGGTGATTTTTTAATTTTAGTGTACAAAATATTCTAGAAGCAAATAATTTTTAATTGTGGTTTTCTTTTAATGATGATACAACTATTTATCTTTCGCGGTTTCCACCAGAAGGAATTATCCTTAAGATGGCTTGGAAGTGTCTGATTTTTTTATAACCCTTATATATTTTATATATAATTAATTCACTTATTCAATGATGATTCTTATATTATATCTTTCGCGGTTTCCACCAGAAAGATTTTGATCTTAGTGATGGCAGAAAGTGTCTGAATTAATACAAAGTAAATAGTGATGATAAATATTATATAGTAACAGTTCCTAAATTGGAAGGTGCAAGGCAAATATTTATATTGTACTGCCATGTATTTATTATTCAATCGACAATAATTTGCTTATATTAAAATAAAAAAAAAAAAAAAATGTTTTGTTGGAATGTTAGATTAAATTTTTTTTGGAAATGTGCGACTCAAAAAGTTTAGAAATCATTATTATATAGACTTTACTATGATAATTATTATGTTTTTTCCAGTTTTCCCTAAATGTTCTTGATGGTTGAAAGTGCCTAATGAATTAAATCTTAACAATTTTCATTAAAAAGAATATTCTAGTAAATATATATTTCAGTTATAACTTATTTATTATTTTTACAGGGAGTATTGGCAGAAGAGAATTTGCGTGCTGTTAGATTCAACATTCATGATGTTACATTACACGCTGATGCTATCCACAGGGGAGGTGGTCAAATCATTCCAACTGCTCGTCGTTGTATGTACGCTTGCATCTTATCTGCTCATCCAAGAATTATGGAACCTGTGTACTTGTGTGAAATTCAGGTATATACTTGATAAAATACAAATACAAATTTGTGTTAAACAGATAAAAGTAATATTATGTGCTTATTCATTTATGAATTTCAATTTTTTAGTGCCCTGAAGTTGCAGTAGGAGGTATTTACAGTGTTTTAAATAGACGTAGAGGACACGTTTTTGAGGAAAGTCAAGTTGTTGGTACGCCAATGTTCGTTGTTAAGGCATACTTGCCTGTCAATGAATCTTTCGGTAAGTCAAATCTCATTTAAAAGCATTTAATATTTGTATATTCACTTGGTCACAATTTGCCTCTTTCATTTTTTTTTTTATCAATAAAGTGAAAGACTTTCCTTTTGTGACAAAGAAAATGTGTATGTCGCTATGTTCTTCAGGTTTTTATCTGATGCAATACATTCATATTACTACATTTTATTAAAATATTAAGTCAAATGCCACAATTTGCCTCTTTTACTTTGATAAATGAAGTAATAGACTTTCCTTGTAGTGGTAAATCAAAATTAGGTTTATGTCGCTATATTCGTCAGATTTTTATCAGATGCAATACACTCATATTACCATAATTAATATGTTTTATTGATCAAGTTGATATAATTTATTTACCTTCCTGCACAAATGAATCACTCTGTAGTTGGCGGGCGGGTTTTTATTCATTCGTTAATAAAGACAGTGTTGAAAGTGCACATGGAAGAAAATTAATTTTTTCTCAATTCATTAAAACGCTGTCGCAGAACCGCTATCCTTATGTTCAATTACGATATTAAGCTATGATGGACTGAAACATTTTTTAAAATTAATTTTTTTTAAAACGTTATGTATTGTATTTAATACAACTTAATAAAATTTTATTTTTGTAGGATTTACTGCTGATTTACGTAGTAACACTGGAGGACAAGCTTTCCCACAATGTGTGTTTGACCATTGGCAAGTATTCCCTGGTGACCCATGTGAAACTGGATCAAAACCATATGTTGTTGTTATGGTAAGTTTTTTTCTCTTAAAATATCTAAAAATGTAATTTTGCTTTTATTTATTTAATTTTTTTTTTTTAGGATACTCGTAAGCGTAAAGGTCTTAAGGATGGATTACCAGACATCAATTCATACCTTGACAAATTGTAAACATAATATTAGCTCTAAAATCGCCGCATTTTTTTTTTTTTTTATTATTATTATTATTTTGAATATTGTTAATTGCAATAGTATGAAAGACTCTATGTTTTTATTTCCAACAAATGTTATGATTTTAAATTATAAACAATTCTTGTTATTTTCTGTAATAACAATTATTAACTTTCTATATACGACTGTAACATTGTATCATTTGATGGTTCCATTTTCAAAACAAAATCATGAATTTATTGATAATATTATGTGTTGCGTCAAGTGTGTTTGGTAATGCTGTGCATGACCCTAAAATACCTAATAAAAACAAATTGATATGAAAATGATTTTTTTTTCTTTTTTTTATGGAATTTTACTTCTTATTTTTATAGCTGCCATTATAAAAAATGTGATAAGTAATTCTAAATGCAATTTCACGAAAATTGAAATTTTTGAAATTAGCTTTTCATATATAGTATGTAATATTTATATCTGTATAGTGTTCTTATTTTTTACAAATAAAAAAAATTATGACTTCACTTTGCTCATGGCTGTTGTCATTTGAAAATAATAAGTATTTTATTAAATACTAATATTTTAAATCATTAATTAATTATAATTCAATATTAATTTTTTTTTAATATTTATAAATGTTGGCCTATATTTCTATAACATTTAATTTGGAACAGGTACTTATAAAAATCTCATTATTGTCACTATTTTTTTTTATGGGGAGAAACAGACAATTGATAATAATGTTAACTGTACACTTGCGTGTTTATTGGATTAATTATTGCTTAGGTAATAACAATTTTTTACCAGCCCTAGATGATTGAAATCTACATACTCTCAGAAGTGACACCTATTTAATTTGTAGTACAATATGTATTATGACTGATATGCAAGCATTCGCATGGTTAGGTCGCAGTGTTGTATACATCTAAAAGTCTGTCAATCAAAATTGAATATTAGAAGAATCACATATTGATGGTATACGTTAGTGCTTCTGAACCTTTTTCAAACTGCCGTCCCCCTTAGATACAATATGTTTTTCAACACCCCCCCCTTCACTTCATTAAAATAGTATACATAAAATGTTTATGATTAAGTAATAAATAATATATATAAATATAAATATAATAAAAATAAAATGTAAAATCTATGTTTAAATATAATTTAAATGTTTTGAAATGTATTGATCAGTGGTTGTACTTGATGATTCAAAGCCAATTTTTTTAAGTTTGGTTCAAAGTTTGTGAGATGAAGGCGTAAGTCTCCTCTTGATGATGTTTAGTCGATTTCTTTTTTTTTTTTATTATTAGATAATAATGCACTGCCACTATTATATGTAGTTTATATTTCATAATCACGAATTTATTTTAGAAATCGATAAACGGAAAACAATTACAGATAAATTTTGGCACATTGCTTTGAACGGAAAAAAAGTTCACCGTCCCCAAATCACCCGAAACGAGCTCATCGTCCCCCGTTGAGAAGCACTGGTATACGTGTAGGTAAATTTATTACAAGTATAAAATGAACAATTAGTACCTTCTTCACATAACATGGTTTAATGACTTGCTCACCTATTCCAATAAGATACACTCATCCCCATTGTTCTAATATAATTTATCGTAACATGTAATTTTATGGGTATTTTAATACTTTATTTTTTATAATCATCCATGATATATCAATAACTTAATATTTCATGGTGTGAAAAAATTTTAATATCAAATTACTTTTGTTAAATTCTTACAAAACATATCTCTATTTTCATAAGGTGGGTATCTTTCAATAGAATACAATAAAATCGCTGTTAGGTACTTGATTATGTAATGTTTCTATAAGAACATCAAATGAAAATCATTTTTATCTTGTATAACGTTTTACAATCGTTTCTCGCAATATAAAATATTTTCGATCTCGGATTGTGTTACAATCCAAGCTAAGCTTGGAGACGGAAGTTACCCGTTTCCGCTAAAAAAAGTTTGGAAACCATTGGTTTTAATTTTTAAGCAATATTGAATATATGTTCTGGTATGTATACAGAGCCGTGTCAAACATTTCAACGCCCTGGGGAAAATTTTTTTCTACGGGGCCACTGGGCACAGGTAGCATATTAAGTGCAGATAAGGGCGCCCCCTTACTTTTAAAGAACTACGGCGCCCCGGGGAAATTGCCCCCTTTGACCCCCCCCCCCCCCCTTAACACGGCCATGTATGTATAAAAGACTGCAGCAAAGGGCCTTGATGGCCTATATTAAGCAACTAAAAAAAAAAATGTATAAAAGACAATGACATTTGTAATGTATATACCGATAACTTCGATAATTGTTGATAATCGTCGATAACGAACAGAAGGATACATACACTATATCATAGTTTAAGTTTAGTAAAATAGGTAAAACGATGTTGATTTTTGATGGTTTTAAAAAAGTTTTCGGTTATACGTCACAAACAAATGTAACTCGGTAAAAATGTTTCATGAAAAATTGTCGGGCCAACATTTTTGAAAAAGATAAAGTAATACTTGAAACAAAATGTACGTTTTCTATTTACGAGTAATATAAATATATTGGATTAATTGGTATTAATTCGGAAGTATCGGATTGTTTTTCTTTTGACTATATGTCAGACATCCCTAATGACAGCAAATATGGTAAGTACGCCGATTATATCTTAGAAAACTATATTGATGAAAATTTAAAATTTCCGTCAAGTATGTGGGCTTTACATACAGCGACATTACACAGAATAACCAACAATTATCAACATCTTTTCATTCTCATTTCAATCAAAAAAAGTTAACAAGGCTTGAAATGATATAAAAAAAAATTCCAAGGAACAAAATATTAAAACGTTTAAAAACTACAGAAAATGCATTACAAAAAAAAAAAAAATTACAGTGAAATTAGTAAGTAAACTTTTGTCAAAACTATTTATTTTAATTATAAGATTTTTTAAAACCTAACCTATATTTACGAATGTTATTTTTTAAAACTTGACATCTACTTGTATTATAATTTATATTTTTTAATAATGGTATCTTTTTTCGATTAATATATTATTATTATTATCCAATTGTATTAAAATTTATATAAGAATATGTAACAATTGTACATGGTTCCCAAATAGTAACTGGCGGAAACGAGATATGCCCTAGAAGACATCTTCCCAAGGGTCGGTTAAAATTAAAAATTTGAAAGGATTAAATCGTCCGACAAATTCATGTTCCTCGTTTTTGGCCAATGGTTCCCTTTTAATTTCCCCCCGGAATTCGCAATCGATAATTTTTTTACCATTACATTATTATTATCCTACCATCGCTTTTTGATGATTGGTCGATGACAATATCATTCCGTGGCAAAGCTTTTCATTTCGAATGTAGGATTGAGAATCAAGAGTTATGTACAGTATTTATATGCATAAAACTATATTTATTACACAATATTATATATATCTATGCGATTACATTACGATATCGTTACGGGTACGTCAGGTTAGGCGAGGATTATTAATCGTTAACGGATCTCCTCGTAGGTGTACCTAACACGTTTGACGTGTGTCGAATGTTTTAATAATAAATTGAGAAAACTAATAATAGGTACACATTAAGCAAGGTCCGTTCGTTCTACCGCTCATCGCTTCTCATTTGTTCGTCATTCCTTTGCAACTCCTCTGGTGCACTTCCAACCGGTCCGGGTCGAACGTCCGTTTGCACAGATCGCACGGCACGAGCTGCGACAAATACGACTTCCAGTGTTCTTCTCTGGTGGCTTCGTGGTCCACTTTGCCCGTCACTGCAACAATCCGCACGGCGTTACTGACCAGCACACAGTAGATTTTATGCGCACACCTTATACCTTTTGTTATAAATAATAAGCAACGAGAATAATCGCAATACCGACGACGTGGCGTCGTTTCAAATACGAACGAGAGGTTCACGGGCTATTTTTCGTAGCCTGGCTATATCGCGGTTTTCTTATCGTTCTAAGTCTATTATCGCTAAAAATAATATTAATTATTGTAAATCGTAGTATGCTACCCGTTTCATTTTCGTTTTGCGAACTCTCTTTCCCACGCTCTTTATACATTTATTAAGGGTATTGGGCAGTTAGTACGGTTGATATGATTGTTGGTTTTCGATCTTAATATATTAGGTATTTCTTAAGATATTTACTTTGAACAAACACTTTTAATAATTCACAGTATAATATTCAATAATTTATCTTCAATACAAATAACAAACTGATGTCAAAGGTGTATCTCTACTATATATCTTGATTGTCTCTGAATAGTGACTGCTCGGGATGCCCTAAGGATAATAATATAATGAAATCATAACATAACAAAAAAAAAAATTAATGTTTACCTCAATTAATTATTAAAAAAAAATTTGAATTGTATTTCCTAAAATTGTATATTAATTATTATTAAATTTTGTATTTATTTTCCAATAATTAAAATAATATATGTAGGTATCTTATATTTTTATATTTTTTTCATGTTTCATTAGAAACAATAATTGTGACAACAGTTTTATGATTATATATACTTGATTTTTAATAAATGGGTAAAATGTATTTTTTTCTACTGTTAAGCCTTCACTCAAAAAAAAAAAAAAAAAAATAAAAAATACCCATTTTGAATAACAAGGAATCTGGTGTAAAAATGTACATGGTACCACGTGTTACTTGAATAGGAAACAAAAGAGTAGTTATTTTTTTATTTATGTATTCTTATTTCAAACAAATTCAATTGTTGTCAGAAAAGTGAATAATTATGTTAGAAAATATGTATAAGTACCTTCAATATGTAATTTTATTATTACAGGAAAAGTAATAATTTTAATGATAAAAAACCGTGATAACCAACTCCGAAAAATAGCTCGCCATGGGCGTCCCCAGACATTTTTCTAGGGGGAGGGGCAAAATTAATTTAAAAAATAAATGAAATTTTTTTTATATATTTTATTTATTGTAAATTATTATATTTTGTCATTATTAAAATTATGAATTAAAACATTACAATTAGATAGGTATTATTATTACAACTAAAACATTAAAAAATATTATTATACATCATTCTTTTTCATTAAATATAAATTGGAATTTTACCAATTTCTGTGGAAATAACATTATTCCAGGAGGGGGCAAGTGCCCCGTCTTGCCCCCCCCTGGGGACGCCCATGTAGCTCGCTGTGCTCCCGCGATCCTCTCGTGTTTTGTTTGATATCGAAGGTTAATTAGAGATGATCGGGCGCAGATTTTAAACTATAATTTTTTTTGGTGGGAGGGAGAGTATTATTTTTTCTAAACTACAAAAAGATAATATAAGTGAATTATTAATTAAAATTGGAACTTTATAAATAATTGTTAATTTTTTTAATAATTATCATATTTTTATTAGTTCGTCAATCAATTTATAATCGCTATTATTATTTTTAGAAGTTTGAGGGAAAATTTGATTGTATGAACAAGCTGTGATGGAATTTAAATCAGGGGTAGCTCGTCAGAGGAGACTTTAAAACTGCGTCTCTCCATTAAAAAAAAAACAGCTACTAGTAAATAATAACTAATTAAAAATAAAAATGTATAGAAATATTTTTATTTTAATTAAAAATATGTTATGTCGTTTTTTATTTACTATTATAAATTGAAGGCCACAAAATCTAAAACCTGTAAATAGTTATTTCAATGAAAATACTAATTTAGTTATTTCGACAACGGTCGCCGTTTCAGTGAAACTGACGCCTGACATGTTCAATCGTAATGGTTTGGTTTATTGGACGGGGGAGGAGGGGAGAATAAGCCGCGTATTGTTAAAAAATCATGGGTATTCTCAAATTAAAATAGTTTATGGAATACTAAGCAGAGAAATAAGTGACGAAAATTAAGGCATTGTAAATTTGTTATCTGAAGACTTGTTTTAAATAAATTAATATTTAATTATATGTAATAAATAAATTATAAATTAATAATCCTTAATCTTGCCTGTGTAGTAGAAAGAAGTTTTTATAAGCATGATGCATAATATCAGAACGGTTAAATCTCGTTTAATCGCCCGAACGGATAATAAGAACGCTTCGATGGAATCTGAATCCGTACGTATGAGATGTACAACGTCGACGGTTGGGGGCGTCCTATACTCGTGTTGCCTTAATATCATTCGACATCCTTTCCAGCTCCCCATTTCCAACGGATCTCTGGTGTTCAAATAATAACACCTACGTTGGTTCAACATTTTCAAACTCGTCATTATGTCCGTTTGGAATTCAAACGTCCTCTGGCAAATCGTGCTGCGCACCGTCGTCCTGTGCTGACCGTCTCGGTCATGTTTCGGACACTCGTAACATTATTGCAACACTATTGTCTTCTACGGTCGGCCTTCATTTATATTCACATCACTTGCTGTAAGATGCTAGACACTCCAGCCAAATCCGTTATTCGTTCAAGAGCCCATCTCGCCTAAGTCCTGAAGATATTAACTGTCCAAATACAACATCACAACTGACGAAAACAACTCAAACTTTTATTACTATAGGAAAAATCGTTGACGCTATTTTTTTCCTACGCTCATCGCGGTCCTCAGACGAATAACTTTCGTAATAGCTAATGCTTTTGTTTTATGCACTTTGCCTTTTAAATATATATATTTATATTTCGTACTTTTTACTTTTTTTTTTAGTTCATCAATTATTAACTTGGTGTCGAATTCTTATGAAACGAAATTAATGGGTTTTCACGTACAAATAAATAACATAAACATTATAAAACGTATGTATTACTAACCGCGGTTATATTATACTAATGATAGTACTCCACTGACGTTCTTAAAGGCGAATTACAACACTACCGTTAGTTTTATAATAATGAATACAATTGATGGTGCGTTTAGCCAAAGATCGCCAATGGTCACGTCATGTCGTCATGCATCATGTCTCCCGCGTAAGTGAGATTATTAGCATTACACGCACGTTATCGATTGTTCTCGGTGTTTAATACGATTAGATAAATACGTACGGTATTATAGTATTGGAAGTGTTTATTTATTTTATTGTTCCGTTTCTTCGCAGCCGGAAGAAATAATCGTCGTAACGTCTTCGTGACCGTTAAGATGTGGGTTAATATTTAAATAATTATTCTAATAATGTAATAGGGCGGCACTTTTACGACTACGGAACCCTTAGGAAATCGTTTACGTTTTGTGGATCACCGAAGCCTCTGACTCCGGTCTCTAACTCCTTTTAACTTCCATTAACCTTGCCAATGCACCAAAAAGTGTTTTGAACGTGATTCACGATTGTCGTTTACTACTCTCAACGTTCGCAAACGCCTCGAATTCCGCGGAACCGGGCACCGCGATTATGGGGTTGGCGAAACAGGCAGTCGTCAAGGGCGCAACAAAGTAAGGGTGGGGAGGGCGCATTATTATAAAATAGGCGCCGAAACAAAACTCGTCGAAGGTAAGCCGCGGTGAAGGTGGTCGGTTACGGGGCATTGCGAGCAATCCAGGGCCTCGGGGAACCGTTGTTGATGCGCACCGGACGGTCGCGTCGTGTGTTACCCCGTGCACGCGCAGCAACGGAATCGCGTTACGTACCTTCGTCTACGATCACTTCCGGTCTGGTGGGCACCGGTCTCCGGAGATGCGGCGGCAAGCCGTCGTTCTCCCGGGTCCACTTGACCAAGCACTGCGGTTCGTGTATGCCCACGGACGCGGTGCCGAACAGCCGTCCGCACACGTAACACGTGGCCAGCTTCTTTTTCGGTCCGTCCATGGTCGGTTTGACGACGGGCACCGGTTTCCGGACCTGCGGGAACAACGGTTGCGTTAACATTCGGTCGTGGACGTCGCGCGCTGACGATTACGGCGAGCATGTCCATGATAGGTCCGCGATTCCCTCTCGCACCATCGGGAGTTGGGAGGGCGGCGTGTGCGCGCAGGTTTACTACTGCTTTCGAGGACGACTTGCGCGTTTTCGCGAAGCGCCCGACCGTTCGTCTAAACGTTTGAACATGTCGAAGGATATTATTATTATTATTATTATCATCGTATGGTCGAAGGATAAACGTGCGTAAACTCGTGTGTCCGGGGAAGATGTGAAAACGTTCACTTGGCGTTATGTGCGCGTGTGACGGAAATCGTGAGAACCGAAAAGAATAATACCACAAGAAAATAAACACGTATATTAAATAATCTATTGTCCATCCGTAAACGATGGGATAAAATTTAATTTCGGTTTGATTACATTTTTATTTCATTTAATTTTTTACTAATATTTTCACTCGATTTTGTTGACGGTACAGACGGTTTAATAAGATATTCAATATTCTAAAGTTTATTTCGACTCATTCGCAGATATGCAATTAAATGAAAATTTTATTCTTTTTTACAGATACATAAAGTGTTTTAAACTTTTAAGTGACTAATATGTGTTTTTATTATAATCGCTTAAGAATAATATTCTAAAAAATACTTTTTTTAATTACTACCTGTAATAAAAGAACAAATCTTATTCCGTTTAATAATTCTAAATTATATTGTTTTTTAGTTATTTTCTATGAAGAAAAAGATAAATATATAATAATATTTAATGATTCGAAAGCTTTAAAAGTTCTTTTTAATCCAAAAAAGACTGAATTGATTCGTTTTGCATATGTTTAAGTTTGAATACTTTCAATTTTAATAAGCTCTATAAAGATAATTATAGACGTAGGGTTTTCATTTATATCAAATTGGTTAAATCGAAAACCACTATAAGTATTTATGTAGGTACCTACATGTATCAGCACTTATGTACTGATAATAAATAGTACTACATTTTAAACCTAACTATTTTAAGTTTTCTCGATTATCAACGAAAAATAAAAGAATACGATTTTTTATTAAGTTATATCACCTATAGTTTAAGTATCTCATATTATATTCGAAATGTGTGGCACCATTTACTTTAAACAATTTTACCTTTAAGTCGAACCACATCATTTTAAAAAAAAATAATTAATTTGAAAAAATTATATTTACCATATCAAATTATAAATATGTATATTATAAAATGAACTAGACACTTTAGTGTGAAACAAAGTATTGAAATATGCGAAGTTCATGAAATAACCAATTGCATCATTAATAAGTTATTATAATTTATTTGTTACTCGAAATACGCACTGTCTTTATATTCACATACATAGTACAATCATATTGTACAATACATATTATAATCTGCATAAGTGTTGGTGAAATTATGTAATTTCAACATATATGTGGGAATTAAAAAATCGAATTCGCAAGGTTTGGTCTCCTTAATTGTTTTATGTAATTTTTTTAACTGATATCTTATGGAAAATAATAATGCTATTTAATATGTTATTTAACATTTTTTAGAATAAGAAATACGTTTCCTTGAACACTTTTATTTTGCAATACCCATTTACGATGACTAATAAACGTTACGTATACGTTTAAATTTTAACTGTGTTGCAACATCACTTAATAAATAATTACAAAAATGAATTATGTGAACTCGATAGATGTTTATTGATCATCACACGAGTGAAAAATAAACTTACCGGTACGATTTTTTTCTTGGATTCGATACAAACTCGGGTGTGGGCTTCGAGTCTGTTTGCTAGGAACTTCCGTTGACAATAATCACATGGCACCAAATTCGACTGCAATTATTATTGTTCGAATTATTTGAGATGTATTTAAAGTCGTATGTATTAAGTCATTAAAATTAACAGATTGAATAATGGTTGATCTAACATTGGTTGATGTAAAAAATAAAATAAAGTTATCTTTATGGAAAACCCTTATCACCACCATAATATTCAGGTGAAAATATTCTCATTGTTTGGCTATATGCATATAGATGATACATTTATGTACACCTCCGCGTGTAAACCGATGTTTGGGCGTACGGCTCAAGTACAAAAATAACCAGTTGGCTGTTAATAGTTGACTATACCATAAATGAATTAACTGCATCATGAGTCATCATGACTTATGCCCACTCGTTTTCATTACACCGTCAGTGTAGTCAGTTCATCGAACTTCAACTTTACTACAGTATCGCGTGTGAATAGCTCATATATTATATAGTCTCTAACTAGAAATTTAATAATTGTAAACATATGTGAGGTATGCATATTTTACCTGAGTGGCTTCCCATGCCAACTGATTCCAGTCATCAATAGATATATTTTGGGTTTCTGGTTTTTGCGGCAGAGTTCTTTGTAAATGTTCTGGCAATCGAGAATTTTCTAGAGTCCATTTCTGTTTGAAAAAAAAGCAACATGTGTGAGCTGTATAGGAAAAAGGCAAGCTACATCACGGCTAGGGTGGATTTATTTTGATTTGAAAGTTATAATAAATCATGGCATTCAATAAACCAAGTTGAAAACAGCTCTGTTTCCAACTGAAACTTAACAAATGTTTGAATTTCGAGATTTTTAAGACATCTCAGATTTAATTTAAGAACGAATAGTTTAGCCATAGACTCTGAAATACGCACTTTATCAAAATAAATTCAAACAATTAACGTAGGTATTAATAATATAAATTCGATTAAAATCTTAGTTACATCTGATAATGGCAGTAAACAAATTTTCGCTCAAATCATTAATAATTGTGTCTGTTGTTTATATATTTAATAGAAGTATTGTTGTAGAACGTAGGTCGCAAAATTTCACCGCAGAAAATATTTAATTTATTCTGCGGTTTCACCGTCTAAAAAAAAATTAGTATAGTCTGCGTACGTTTGAAAAAAACGTAATTACGCATACGAAAAACGAATTTGAAAATAAAAATAATAACGCACATGAAAATAAAATCATAACTTAAAAAAAAAATCATTAGCTAAATGTTATAGTCGTGTGTTATTATCGGGAGTGGATTTTTTTATACAAATGTATTATTTTAGTATATCTATTATAAAAAGGGTATTTAAAATAAAATATCAACTACAGTTATGTCACTTATTTCTCTCTATTCGATTCGTCTAAACAGCTAAAAATGTTTTATATTTAGTTGAATAATTACTGATCGGTTGAAACAAATTGATTAGCATCTTTTAGAGGTGTGTTCGCTATATCGAATTGAAAACGTTTTTTACTTTTATAGCATGTTAGTAATCAATTAAATAACCCGATATTAGCTAATACGCGGTACAAGCAGCAAAACATAAAAACACTGGATTTTTACCCGTCGAATGTGGATATTCGATGTTTTTATAAATACATTGAAATGTTTAGAGTGATAACGGGTTTTGTTCGGTTTTGTAAATAATTTCATCGCACGAGTGATTTTATTATTACGGCCGCCGACATCACAGTCAAACGATGATATATCGTAACGATACAAGTTCGTTTCGTCAACATGGCTGCGGTCGAATGTCGGTAATCACGTGAGCAGATTATCATAGTACTTTCGGCGGGTGCGTATTAAATCGAATTAAATTGGAGTTGTGCGTTGTATATTTTTGTATCGATACATGCACCGGTATTATAAACACGTTATTGCGAAAACAGTCGGTCGCGCGACATCCTCTTCCAAACAATGGGAGTAGTGCTCCGAAAACCGTATATTTTATATAGACGTATTACGGGACTTCCTGGGCCGACTGTGCCACCAGGTGCGCACACCCATCGTTATTGTTGTGCTCTCACGTCGGACGCATTGTGTTTTGACCGTGCAAACCTGCGTGTACAACATAGTAATCGACCTCACGGCGTTTGGTGCAGCCGGTGCGCGGCACTGAAAATAGCGGAACGCGGTGTAGGTCGAAACGAAGCCATAAGATTTGTAATTTTTACAAACGAACTTTCCCGCGCACGATAGAAACCCGGGAAAACTGTGCGAACGAACGCGTTTTTAATTCCGCGCACTTCCCACGTTTAACCTATATTATCCGATCGGGACACACGTTCAAGGTGTATCCGGTGCCGTTAGTGGTTTTTCAGTCGAATAAATTTTACTATTATTATTTTTATTTATTTATTTTTTTTTCATATATTTACAAAATATACAAATTACGCGTGGATAAAAACACGCGATGGTTTAATGTCAACCAGGTTACCGCCGAAACTCGTGTCGAACACAATATTATTATTTGTTAGAAATAACAAGCGGAATACGGATCTCGTGTCGAAAGGTTGAAAAAAAAAGAATAAAGAAATATTAATAGTTGTTGTGAAAGGTTAACTTAATGTTTTGATTGAACTCCAAACAGTTATTATAAATCATGTACTCTTTTAAAATCTTCGTATCAAATAGTAACGCATATTATTATCAATTATAAAGTATTGTAACAAAATAATCCATCAATATCTACTTGAAAATGTTTTGAAACGTAAAAAGACGAAGAAAATAAGAATGGAAAAAAGCCGACGAAATATAATGGTCGTCAACTATTTCAAGTTCAAGGACACAACTTAATAACTATACAAATGATAAATCGAATATTTCGTTTTATTTTTTTTACGTACCAATAATGCCCAGCCATTTTCGCTTCACAATAATTTTACTGCGAAGAAGAAATAACGTATCGTATTTCGTATTCCTCCCATTACCGTCCGATCATTTACGACTGCATTTCGCAGTCTGATATATCTAATCGATATGTCCGCACGATAACATTAAACTTTCGTCGTGTCCAAAACAAACCTTCAGTCCCGTTTAAGCATCACGTTCACGTCGGCCGATCGTTCCCGAAACATCACGTTTCCGATCTCGACGAAACATTCGAGGTCTCATTGTACTCCAGAGACAACAATTATGCAGTACGACACACTTTGTGTAATACGAAATGTTAAGCGTTTAGAACGAAATTAAAAAGTTATATTCTCTATATTATGGTATTTGTTTTAAATTCTACATTTTTTTATTAAATTATTTTACATATTTTTAAAATTTCAAGATGTACTATCAGCAAAATCTAAAATACCAATATTTTAACTGTTCCACTCATTACTGTTAACATTTGAAAGGGGAGTATGATAAAATCCTTGAGTGTGCAGTACGAAAAAATAAATATTTTAGCCTCCGGTATTCACAGTACGAACTCCTGCGCGGTGGCGCGGGAGAGAGGGGAAGGAGGTAGTGATAATTTTAACCAGGTTCGTAATCGTATTCCGTTCGATCCTACCTTGAGGCACTGGGGTTCGTGGAACGGCAACGAAGCGGTACCGAATTCTTTGCCGCACAGATAGCACAGCACAAGCCTCTTCTTCCTCGCCGAAGCCACGGCCGTCGGCACCCAGTTTTCCGGCCGATATTCCCCGGGCGCCGGATCGGCCGACGGCGTTTTCCCCTCGCCGTCGGTTCCCCCCCGGTCGCTGTCGACCGGCGGCGACGGCTTTTGAACGCGTTGCCGGACCGGCGGCGTCGGCGCCATCGGTTTCACCTTGACCGGCAAATGGCTCCTTCTGATCCTCGGCGTCTGCTTGGACACCTCCGGCAGGCTCAGCACGCTCTTCCGGTCCTTGGTCTTGACCCGGTACGTCCGGCTGTTGAAATGCTGCTGCTGCTGTTGGGCGGCCGGGCGGCGCCTGCAGGTCGGCGGCCGCGGTCCCGTCGCCCCGCTCTCCGTCCGTCCGTCCTGCAACGGGGGCGGTTGCGGCGGTTCGTCCGACGCGGCCGCGCCCGCTGGTCGCCTCGGCTCCTCGCCAGCGGCCTGTTGCTCCTGTTCACCGGTTCCCATTGGTGCGGTCGACTTCTTCTTTTTCTGAACGGACGACTTCACCGCCGAAGTCGCATCCTTCGAAATGTTCTTTAGCCCTAAACACAAGCACGCGCGAGCACACGTTAATTTTTCCTCGTCAACCAACAACATCGGTTTTGCCAAAACATTTTATGATCCGTATCTTACCGCACCAACATATTCTCCGGTGACATTACCGTAATGCGTCGACGCACCGTATATTAGTTGATTCGAAACACTTAAGTAGTCAACGTTTTAGATGATTCGAAAGAATAATAAATTCCCATTTCAGCACGTAAACATTTTTATTTTTATTTTTTTCGAACTAATGCTCAACATTTTATTACAATACGTATACGCGTTATATTATCGTTTATTATTTCACTATGTAATCGATTAAATGTTTTGTTTGCGTACACTGTTACTCTGCACTTGCATTTTCATAGACTTTTTTTTGTACACGTAATTTCGATTTAGTCACGGACTACGTTTATTACATTATTATGGACGTTATGGAGAATATATCGTTATTTCGTTATTGTCCTAATACAATATAATTATTGTTGCATATTTTTTCGAATAAATTTTTAGCCAATTTTGACACAAATAGGTAGCACGTTACCATGGTTAACGTTTTAGTTTGTTGATATAAAAAAAAATCAATGTTCTACTAACTATTATTCATAATTAAGCATAATACAAATTACACTTGAGTTTTCAACAAAGCTTTTAGAATACTAACAAATAACATACCTAATTGTTTAAACAAATTTTGTGAATAATGCCCTGTAGTTTTACGTCAACTATATATTTTTAAAAAGTCTGATTTTTAAGGTTATAATATGTATAATCTAGACAGATGTATGTGATTGTAACAGTACACACAAAATATATAGAACACATATTCTGCCTAACTACACTAACTAACTGCATAAAAATAAAAATAAATATAGAAACTAAAGTTATCATGTATTTTCGCGGAATATCCAAATTTCAAAATACGTATTATAAATTTATTTTTAACGTTTTATAGTAAACGTTAAAAAAACGTAATTAAACAACAAATATGTATGGTATTCGCTTTATTTACAGTGTAATACTGACAAGGTGAGTTACTTTGTTAAAACATTTTTTTTTTTATTGTTATAAATTATTATTTAAATTAAGAGGTTTTTAGTAGAATTGTTTATAATTATTTAATAAATTACCATAGTTTGTAAAATTTAAGTTTTATTTAATTAATCAAACATAATTAAACTCTTAGAATATTTTAAAAAATATTTCGATTTTTTTTATTAAATTATCATTGCATTAATACATTGTTTGCGCATTAAGCTATTGCTTAAAATATGTCCAACTCATTTCGGAGAAATAAAATTAATTAAACATGTACAAATTTTATACTGAACAATATAAGTCTTATTAGGTGATATAAATTATTTTCTATACAATTTTTATTTTTATAAGGCAAACATCATTAAAAAACCTGTTTTATAATATAATGTTTAATACTTTTTATCAAAATGTATTAATAATTTATGACAATGTGTACACTTAAATACAATTATTTTAGATAATAATATCTATAACACCTTATAATATTAAAATAAATTTTATTCACTAACTTGAAAGCATCATTTTCTTAAACATGGTAGGAAATTTTTTCGACTTCAACGTTGTAGTTGTAGTAGTGGTAGTAGTAGTTGTATTATTATCCACAGATTTTTCCATATAAGGTGTCTTAAACATTGAAAATCACTGTTATATTAAACAAATCAATAATTTTTAAAGTTGATCATTAAATAATTTATTTTTAATATTTTTTATTAAAAATAATTTAGATACATAAAAATAGTCGCCATCAACAAACGTCAGTCTGTGACTACACGCAAAACGTAACTGAAAACACACGAGTACCGGTAGCTCATGGATTACGCCTTTCGCGTTCTGTAGGTAGGTATATATGTTATATTCCGCAGAAACAATTTATTTAATTTCTTTGAAATAAAAATAAAAAACTATCTGGTTAAAAGAAATCTGCATATTTTTTTGTGTCAAATATAATTTCTAGTATTTACTACAATGTTTTATAATAAAGTATGTAACATAAATAATCAAATGTTTTAGTATTATTATATATAAATTCGTTATAATTTTCACGCAATTAAAATTGAATTAAACAAGTTGAAAAATAATGTGATATAGGTTACTATATATTTATGTGTATATTTTATATACAATATATTAATGCAATTGTATCATGTATAAAATATTAATGTTTGTTCATTGTTAAAAAATAAAACAAAAATAAATCACTTAAATTTTCTTTGTCAAATAAGAACATTAAATGTTGTTCGTTATTATGTTGTTATATATTTGTGTTTATATTAATATTATTCATATTTGTTTATATTATATAATTATTTATAGATTATATTTATAGTTAATAATTAGCAAAAAATTAACTCTTCAAAAGTTAGTTTGGGGCTGTAGAGAATAGAGTGAAATTTTTTATTGTTGTGAAATTATTTCAAATCTTCATATGTGCTCGTAAAATTGCACGAAATTGTCCAAAAACCGTACATCATGTGTTGTCATAATTAAGAAAATACATTTATTTAAGCAATCGTAAATTACAGGTATTTATCAGAATGATGTAGACACTCATGGCTAATATTAAAAATGTACATAATGTAATAAAATAAATCAATAAAATAAAAATATGTTTATTTGGGAAAAGAACCAAACAATGGTTTCATAAATATTAAAAAATATTGAATTAATCTGACAACACTAACATAATCTGCATACTGTACATTACCCACGTTCGACCACAGGCCACAGTTCGCCCTTTACCAACTTTACCAATAAAATGCTATATAGTATATGTCCATTTAACTTATATATAAATGCATACATAGTATTTATACAAGAATCTTGATACGTACATTATATATAATTTTAAGTATCGTGTTGCCATTCACGAAACAAAAAGAAATAACGGTTCGTATTAAAGTCAGAACGTACACCGCAATAAATATATACAATTTAACAAGGTAAACACTAAACATATTAAACCATGTATTTTAATCATTTGTTTTACATGCTATATCCATTTGTCACGTATACATTTTATTTAAACAGTTTGTGGTTTACGTTTCTTAATATATCTATATAAAAGCAAATTATAGCAAATACATATATTTCCAAAAGTTATTTGAAAATACGAATGTTCGAAAAAAATAATGCCATCGAGTTTAATAATAAGTATAGTATAGTAAGAATAATTATTTTTTAGGTAATATAATAAAAATTATATAATTGTTTCAATTTATGTAAATCACATAATTGAGATTTTACAGTAATGTTAATTATATTCCACAGTTAATACATTTCTTAATAAATACATTTTCGAATTCGATAGTCAATGTGGTAAAAACTTAATATGCGGTTGAGGTTACGGTTAAAATTTAGCCGTTGAATAGATTAAATTATATGCCAATTATTAATTTAGCTCTATGTACATTAAATATAAACTATAAGTAAAGCGCGTTTTATTTTATATACGAAAATATTTTTCCACCAGTTTTTATTTAAAAAACCAAACCAAGAGATTAGGAAGACTATGGAAATCGGAGAACACTCCCCTCTCCTCTTAGGTACTTAAAATATATCAATGGTTACTTACGTAGGTTACCTACGTCCTTGGTCTATAGATATCTATGATTATAATTCAATTGATGTTACCAACAATTTAACCTTCTTTATTTTTCAAACTTAATCTTGTAACAGTTGAGTAATTATTTATTTCCAAGCTCCCTCCTCCTACCGCTACTGAAAAATCCTGTCTGCGCCACTGTATGGGAATCAATTTGAATAATTGTGCAGATAACCAGGAGGTAAAGATCATTATTATGATTGTAGACTAAGCTGGTTTAGATACTGGTATAATTTATATGAATAGTTGGGTTAATCTTAGTTGTTCATTTAAAAAAAATGTATTCGTAATGTCAGAGACCGACGTGTTTCTAATATTTATTTATAAGTATTTACTCAATTATTATTTATTATACTTAAAACGTACTAGAAAAAGGCAAATATTTCGTATCAAAATTTTTTTATTGAAAACAAATAAAATATTTTCGGGAGAAGAATTATTTTTGTTTGTATATATCGCGTTTCAATAAATAAGTTATAAAGAAGCAAGTTTGCATGTTTTATACTTTCCTGAGAATACATTTCTATCAGCCACGTTAAAAATCTATTAAAAAATACATATACCTAAATACATATTTAACACGGAATTCCAGAATAAACATTTACATATTATCTAATAAAAATCACTCATAATCTAAAAAAATTAAAAGATCTTTTTTGTAACGTATAACATTGAAATGTGTTTGGATTAACTTCCAAAATATCAACAATTATTATTTATAATATGATGAAGTATTGAAGTATTACTAACATTTAAATCACAATTCAATATGGAAAACACTTGTTACTAACTATTGAAATGTTCCAATAATTTGTTTACATATATGAAACATTGAAAAAAGAAATGCTTATTTACTTCTTTAGGTCTGGTTATGTAGACGTTTAATTGTAGCAGTAAATTTTTCAGCATTTGATACTATTGTATTATTATTTTTTTTTATTTTATTTTAAGCATGATTATTGACAATGACAATCGGATCTAGTACGACGTACAAGAAAATATGAAATTAAATCGTTGCTAATAATACGTCAACGTTTTTGCTCTGTTAACAATATATTAGAACAAACTGTTACAAACTGTTTAAAACTATAAATAAAAAAAAAGAACAGCTACTTTTGGCTTATTATAAATATCATGATTAAGATTTAAATCACTGTTCCACATTACCATAAAAAATTGGTAATATTTATAATGTATATCAATGCTTATTATGTAATTAAATGATTTATAAACTTAAATTTAAAATTTGTATTGTAAAATTGTAATATAAAAATGCATTTCAAGTAAGCAACGAAGAAATTATTGGTTGAAATATAAAATCTCATTTAACGTAAATCATTTGCTTATCGATTTGAATAGTAGATAATAAAGGAACAATAATGTTGCTCTCATATTAGATAAGTACTTTTAACTGTATAGATTGTTCAAAGGTCAAAATTTATTATAATATATTACCAACTGGATATTGGTACAGAAATATTTTTATAAATATATTATAACTATTCATTAGTATACTAACATAACTAGAATGTAGTTGATATAACAATCAAGGTTTAAAATACAATTTTATGATAAAATGTTTAAAAACAGTTTGAAAACGTGCGAGTATTTATTACAAAATTAAGTCAACGGAAAAATTAAATATGGTAAGTACCTAGACATAATACTTAGTAACTATAAATATTTTAATAATCCTCTAAACTATAATGGCATTTATTTGTAAAAATAATTAAGTATACTTAAGTTGAAAATATAAATCAACAATTTATAAATAATGAATATACACTATTATTATAAAAATAATATATTCTTATAAATATAATAAGCAGTGTAATACAATTTGCTAATTAACATTTATTTATATTTTTATTATTTTTTTTTTATTCTTTGAATTTCAAAAACTACTAAAAAGGAATATTTTAACTAAAACACAATCAATCTATTGTTGTGTTAATAAAAGATATAGTAATTTATCTAAATACTACACCAAAAACTATATTGTGGGTTATGCTTATAAATATTCACTTATATTTTAGTAAAATAGAGCAAATTATGATGCATTAAATTAAGGTTAAAGTATCATACACATTTTTTATAAAAATTACTATAAAATATTATTAGTTAAATTATAATTTTGAACTATTAAGTGTTTTATAATATATTTTTATTTTAGGATGATGATAAAAAAATCAATGACCCACTTTCAGACTGTCAAGATATCAGTTTGATGAAAAAGGTAATAATAGTTGGTTTACTCTATCCTTAACTATAAAATATTATCTTAAATAACAAATTAAAGACACATCAAACAATGAAAATTATCGCAATAAAAAAAATTATTATTTAATGTTTAATTCAGCCTAATATTTTACTACTACCTCTCAGTTAATAAACTATGAAAGTTGCATAATTATTTTAAATTATTTCAATACCTAGTAATTGAGCAAACATCTGATTCTTTATTTACGACTTACTTCTGGGTACGATACTGATAACACAATTTGAATTTTAAGTTGATGTATACTATTTTGATTATTATACTATTCTTTTAATATTCTTATTATTTTTATTATTTTTCAATTAAATTTTAACAGAAGATTTTTTTTTCATAATACTAAATATCATATTACTTTATTATTATATATTCAATTCCTAAATTTTAATATTTTGAATATAATTTCCAGGGTTGATATAAATAAAAAAAAAACCAGTGATTACTATAATTTTGTTATATTATTTTACTTCTTAACTATAATTAAAAACTTATCCTTTTTTAGCGACATTATCGTGAAATCTATACGAAATAGTTTTTGAGTTACTTCTTCCAAATTAATTTATCTTAACCTCAACATAACCAGAAAATGTAAAAATCGAAGTTAATTTACTTATTAAATTTTTATTGATTAAATATAATATGAATTATACAATTTTCTTTCCTTTTATTTCCAGGAAAAACAACGATTAAAATTGACAAAAAAGGAACATATCACAAAAATGAATGATTATAGAGCATTGCGTTACTTAATAACCAAAGATAATAATGGTTTGAGTAATAATGGAATAGTAGGAAAAATCCCGGTGTTACTTATTTTTCCATTGATAGTTTTAATTTTTTTACTTATTATGATATATTTATAAACTGTTATTTTTTTAATTTAATTTATAAAACTACTTCGTAGCTGATATTT